CCCCCCCCCCCCCCCCACCAGAAAATGCCTTTTTTATTCTTTTCAATGAATGCAGGGGGTTTCTATGATTGTAGGAGGTGTGGATGAATGTCACAGTCTTCTCTCTTCTAATAGAGCAGTGGTTCTCAACCTTTCTAGGGCCGGGACCCCTTGGTAACATTTGCCAAGTTGTGGTGACCCCCAACGGTAAAATTTAGGGTTGACGCGGCTGCTGCAGCAACATCTGGCGGTGTCGCGGGAGAACTGCCACTGCTGCGCTAGGAGAGGGCTGAGGAGGACTCTCACCTAGCACAGCAAAAATCACACAGCGACCCACAGGTTGAGAACCACTGTGGTAACAGCTAAAATGGCAAACCATATAACACAAGCCGAGGGTGTCAGCTTTTATTATTAATAATGATAATCACTAGATGGGGACCTGATGGAGAACTACAGGTCCCCCTCTGCTGATTGACATCAGCAGTGGGCGGGTGCAATAGCTAGTTTGCTATTGCACAGTGAAATAGCCAATAGGAATCTAGCTATGCATTCCAATGCTGATTTATTTATTTTTTTCTGACTTACGGCGGCCGGGGCCCCGATGTCAGAAATAAAATTAAAAAAACGATCGCAGCGAAAGGTTTACTCTGCTCGATCGAGCAGATTAAACCTTTCCGGGAGAAAGTGTTTCTCTCCCGGGCGGCCAGGAGCTGCTATCTAATAGCGGGAGACTCCCGGCGACCCCTGGCAAATTGTCATTCGACACCCGAAGGAGTCCCGACCCACAGGTTGAGAACCACTGTAATAGAGGATGAGGTACAGTGACTCACTGTAATCAGCTTACTGCAGATGGAACTTGAAATCTCAATGCTGGACGTCCAGTGCTGACAACAAGACCGTGCAGGCTGACTGACACTTAGGGGGTTCATTTATAAAAGTTCCAAAATGCGCCAATGCCATCTAGGGGTGCTAGTGCCATGTGAATGGCATCTGCCTGTTTATAAACTAGGTGGAACTTTTATTAAATTTATGAACCCATAAGAGATGTGAGAAATGCTGCTAAGGCCAGAGATTGGGTACACTTCATCATTGGCATTCAGCTTTAACCATGTTCTTTTACAGGTGCTTTAAAATGTAAAATGTTTAAAGCTGAACTCTGGGGGAAAAAACTTTGGCCTTGCAGTGGGTTCCCCTCTGTACTTTATTCCTTGCATCCACAGACTTCCTCCTGTCTATGACTTTGTCGAAGCTGTTTCTTTCTTTTCGCTGCCTCAATGGTCTCAGCTCTCCGATGTCATCCCGTACATTGCGGGACTAGTAGTCCTGCATTGTACGTGAAATTGCTAAGGGCCTGCCCACAACCCAGGATGTCAGGCAGCGGGAGTGAGGCATATGGTAAATACTGTGTATCACCTTATTCATCATCCCCTGGGAAAAATGAGCAGGTAACCCTTGCTGTGCAGAGGGGGCCCCACCCACTGCAAGAGAAAAGTTTTTTTATTCCCTGGAGTTCTTTCATTTTCTTTAGAAGCAACAGAATATTTTAACAACTGAAGAAGTAGTTTTAAAAATACAGGCATCTATTTGTCACTTTGGTTGTACATTTTCACTACTGACTTCTGGTACAGCATACAGCTATGGTGACAATTTGTGATTACATGTGACTGATGCAGAAATAAAAGGCAGACAGACAAAAGCAGATAGCTTCCCTTCACGTAATTCTGTCATTTCTGCATCTGCTATTTTATCTCTCGATCCAAATCAGAAACAATTAAAGGAGAACTATGGGGTTAGGGCTTTTCCCCATAGTTCTCCTTAGGGTAAAGCGAGGACGCAAACTAGCGTCCTCCCGTCACCCTAAGCTTAGCTACAGCTCACGGTATACTGAGACACCGCATCTGAAGCGGATCCCGACAATTATGTCTGATCCGCCCAGCTGCGTGAGTGACAGCTGGCTCTGCCTATCTAGAGGCAGAGCCAGCTGTACCCGCCCTGTCCGTTCCGCCAGTCAGCGCTGGAGGATCGGGGAGGGGGGAATCCAGTCCCTCCCCTGTCACGGCAGAGAGCCTTGACAGGATCGAGAAGTGAGCAAACGCCGGTATGTGTTCGCTCATTTCCCGATCTACTGAGCCGACCTGTGACAGTTTCATTGTCACAGGTCGGCTAGAACTATTAGTTCTCCTTTAAGCTGTAAAAAAAGATTTGCTTGCCTTTCTTACCTGGTTATATCTTTCAATTTTCAGATTTGCCTAAGTGAAATGAGAGCACACCTGAATATGTGTCAGCAATACATTACAAAATACGGCCCTTTACAAGAGCTGGGGAAAACAACATGCAGGTATGTCACTTTAGTGCTTCTGATTGTCAGTGCTGCCATCATATGCATTTGCTTTAAACAGTGAATATATAAAAAAACAATACACATGCAGGGGCTGTAATGTTTATCAGCTCAGTAGATGCATATTACAAGCTCCCAACATTTTACATTAAAAAATTCTGGACAAACTTAAAGTGGCACTAAACTGTAAACAAATGGGCTGAATGCTTGTGCTGACATCATTTACCTTATATGTGGCCATATAAGGTCAATGACATCACTGCATCCCTCCCCTTTGCTTACATCAAGACTGGGCGGCGTGGAAGGCGCCCATCACACAATACAGCAAAAATACAGATAAAATAGTTCAGGACTTCATAGCATGCAAAACAAGTTTGCAGTTTAAGTATGCATGTTTTGAATTTCCAAATGATTTTAACATTGCAAGATGTGTAGGGGTTATAGGTTTATTAAGTGACCTAGAGAACTTACAATAACCAGCCGCCATCATTTGTAAAAATGGATGTCAGTGTCTCGGGTATGTAACCTCCGTCTTTCTAGGCAAATCTCCTTTAAAGAATACACTGGGGTGCATAGAACAGCATGGCCCCTGTTGCAAAATGCCAATCATGAAAACAAACCCCCAGCACTCTATAATTCCTGAAGGATCTCAAGGAATGTTAATGCTCAGGGGTCACAAACATTTGATATGGTTTTTGTGACTTACACACTTGGGGAAACACACTGACTCTCAGCATGCAGAGATGTGCAGTAGGCAGGAATGTCCTTTATGCTACTTACACACACAATGCCTGCTTACTGTTCATGGTTGGAATTCAACCAGATCAAAAGAGCACATATACATCAGATGGGGGTTGGACATTCAGGTACAATGTGGCTTTCAAAAGATGTTTGAGAAAAAAGCAACAGGTAAGGAATTGCAAAAGGAAAATATAGTATATAGTGAGCCTGAATGGATCTGCATTTTTTTTTTAAACAAAGCTGGTGTTTCACTTCAATAGTATGGCGCTCAGCCAGTTAAAGCACAATTTTTCACTGTAATAGGCTTTGCATTGTATTATATTTACAGTTCTACTAGTTGTCTAAGGTTTATATAACCTACCTAATGACCTGTTTCTTTTCAGAGTGGATACGTATACATGTCCATTTTGTCCAATGGAGCTAGATGAAGATGGTCTAGTGCAGCACTGCTTCAGCTGCCACAGTACAGAGAACTCTCTGGTGGTAAGGAGTTTCATATCACTAAACAAAGCAAAGCTGCTGGACACAATCGCTGCCGCTCGGTTTTAATACAAAGATCACTTGTATTAAACGAGCAGCGGCTCCCACTGTACATTTAGCTCTGCTTTAGCAGGGATAAATGTACAAAAAACTACTCGCCCGGCGCCCGAAACTGCATGTTCCTGCATGAAACTGCATTGGTCAGCCAATCAACTGCAGTCACTGTCTAGATATTGTGGTAGCGGCACACCCACCACTGTCAGAATACAAGGGGGGGAATTCCCCCATCCATACTGTTAGCATGGATGGGGTGTCGAGCATTTGAACTTGTTCATGCCCTTGGGGCTGAATAAGAAAAACTATAAGTGCATGGCCAGCCTTACATAGAACAAGTATGCAGTTCAGGGTTCTGACTTTTCTCTGACTTCCCTGATCTGCATACTTGTTTTGGGTCAGTGACAAAGAAACACTGAAGACCAGGAGGGTCATGATAATCGCTAGACGGTCTGTGTTTTCCATCACTGTTCTCTAGCTTCACCCGACACAATTGTTATAAAAGTCTTCCTTATCCCGGATTTCTACAAGCTAATCCTTTTGTTCCAAATGGTTTTATCAGCAAATGTCAAATCCTAAAATAGATACAGTGTATTTTTTAGTGAATAGTAATCAGAAAGACTCATTAGTGTCTACTACAAAGAATGTCCAACCAAAACAAGTGAATAATCATTATTCATTAGCTTTTTTATTGAGGTTACAGTAAATGACTCAGACTCAGCTAAGAGACACATTGCCTTCTTTATTAATGCTAACAATACATAGTTACATATGACAAACTCTAGACTGTGTGGCAGCTATAATACACTGAATTTCTTCTTTTTACTGAGTATCTCTGTTCCATGATTGTTAACAGCATTCTGTAAATACAATTGATTTGATTTTTTAAAATTTTACCTAAACTTAAGAACACAAATGTAATATAATTGAAGCGTATCAGTCCTTAGATGTGGTGGCTGCATTAGTTTTTTTTTTTTAGGTTTTATTTCCACCTTGTGATCCTGCCATAACTTACTTCCTGTCCACGGGTGATAATGCTCACTCAATGTACAATGTACAGCATTGCAACCCTAGAACAGGAAGTGTTTTTGGACTGCAGAACTCCTCCTGCTCTTCTTAACATTTGAGGAGTTCAGTAAGCCGAACACACTTCCTGCCCTACGGTGACAGTGCTGTTCAATGTTCAATGTACATTGAGTGAGCATTGTTACCCTTGGACAGGAAGTGAGTCATTGGCAGGATCAGAAGAAAACTGTTGTTTAATTATTTAATATAAGACATCAGAGTGCCCAGAACACCTTTGGATTTATGGCAGGATTAACAGGTATTTTTTCAGCCATTAAACACATTAAATACACTTTGATGGTACATTTAAAATATTTAAAGGGAGCAAATAGGTTTATTGTTAGTGTTCACATCCTTTAAGACAAGCTCCAGCCCAGCAGCCAATCTTATGTCAATAAATGATAGGGTATAGAGGAAGCGCATTGACTGATGTGTTAAAGGAAACCTTTCCTTAAGGCCCCATTCACATTGAGCGATTCACAAATCGCGCGTTTGTCGCGCGATTTGCATTTTGCGCGATATCGCGCAAATGCTTGCATTGAGCAAGCTAGAATCGCGCCAAAATCCGCTCCAAAAAGGGTCCTGCTGTAGCGACGCACGGCCCGTGACAGCGACGGACAGAGCCCCATTGCCATGCATTGGAGAGCGACATCGCGCGGTAAATAGCTGCGATATCGCGGGAATTACCGCGCGATAAATCGCTCAGTGTGAATGGGGCCTTAAGGAAGATGAAAGCTGCCATTGCTAAATTCTTTTTTCCAACTACTATTTGCCTGCCCGTCCTGCTGACCTCGTGTCTTCAACCCAGAACAAGCTTGCAGATAAGGACTTTATTCTGACTCTCGTGAACTGTATCCTTGTTCCAGGTCATTGAAAGGCACAACATACTGAATCCTGTGGTCAATGTAATAGCCAACCAACTAATACCAAGCCAAATAGCATCGTCAGAAGGAGGTCAGCAATGGCAGCCCCCATGTGTCTCCCAGGAAAGGTTTGCTTTGGGTCAGTCAGATCAGGTAGAATGAAAATATCTGGGCAGACAATGGTGCTTCTATTTGGATGCAAAGTCATTTCACTAACATCAGTCATGGTGCCTGGATGATCTTAATAAGCTACATGAAAGAGATTAATGGAGGGGAAATTTGAGAGCCACCATTTTTAGTGCTTTATTCCACATCATAACCTTGTGGTCGTGCAAGCCATTGCAATTTTACCAAATGTCGTTTGCTTTTCTATTAGGTGTGTCCAATTTGTCACCTGATGCCAGGAGGAGACCCCAGCTATAATTCAAGTTTTCTAAAGCATCTTCATGCCAGACATTCAGTATACTATGAAAATTACATAGTAAGTGTCAAATAATTTTTTTACCAATTTTAGTGAAATAAATGGTGACGTTGCTATGAAATGAGACACAGAATATTCTGACAGGCAGCTCATAGTTTCTGTATGTCTATAGACTCTGTGTTTGTGGTTGCTGTATATGATGGTGAGCAAATGCATTGTACAATCACTTTCATATGAAGAGACATGGCAAAGGCGATCTGCAGACACTTGGGTGGTGGCTTATCAAGGGGAAAACAATCGCAATGAGACAAGGTTTTCCAACTTACCCAACCACTTTTCTCTCCAACAACCATCAGTTGGCGATGTCTGATGTTGCCTTTAGTAATTTTAGTTAAAAAAGAATTAAAACAATAACATGAAATAAAGAGAAAAATAGAGATGTGCTGGCATGAAAATCCACTCTGCTGGGTTTGGTAACAGGTTAGGCTACATTGCAAACTGGGAACCACTAATGCAGTTCACCTTGTACTTCAGTTCAGTACAATGGATCAACTACAAAAATCAGATTTGTGTTGATATACTACCCAGAATATTCCAATACATATTTTAAGCCCAGAAACAAAAATCTAATATATTGCAGCATGGCAGTCCTTAGATGAGATGGCACCATTCTTTTTCCAGACGTCTTTCTTTTTATTTTCACCAGGTAGTCCTGTGAATAACACACTTCTTATTCCTGGGTGGCTACACTCTCATCTACTGCATCTGTGGAGGGAGACATGGTTGTCACTCTGGCTGGACATCAAACATGTCCTCCTTTGTTCATTTTCATTACATTTTGGGGGTGAAGGGTTAGTAGTGTACAGAAAAAAAGATAACAATGTTTTTGCTTCCAGTTCATCTCACAGAAATGACAAGGACACATCATTTTTGGCAAGATAAAGTTATTTTCTGTACTTGCTAAAAATGTTTTTAGTTTGGATAATGAAAACTAATGCAGTCACCACATCTGTGGACTGGTAAGCCACAATATATAACATTTTTGTCTTGGGTGTAGATATACTTTAAATACTTACCTTTCCTGGAAAAAAACACTTCTCTCGGTTCTCCTTCAGTAACATAATAAAATGATTGTACATTGATCATGAATATCTCACATGAAGGCAGGATCACTGTTGATGCAGGGCTGCCAACTGGTCAGGTCTACATGCACACCAGTTCTCCAGAGGTTTAGATCATGTGACTAATAGCCTGGCATTTAGTCTAATGATTGGCACCAAAGTAGATCATGAGCAATGATTTCTTCATGGATGGTATTTAAACCATAATATTAGTACACTAGGGCGGAATGATCAGAATAGATCAAGGCGTGCTAGTATAATACAGATCAGCTTTAATTAGCAAATTAAAAAAGAGACTGATAGTATAGTAATGTACAGTGTCTGGAAATGCCCACACCTTCAGTAGGAATTTAGGTGCAGAAATAATAAATATGATATAAGGCAGCAATAATTGTTTAATTTTTTAATCGGAATTAGCTAATTACAACAAATGAAATTAAAATGTAAAACATATCCTCAGCTGATATAGGAGGTATTTCATTTAAAAGATTTGTTGCAATATTTGAGTTTGTATCACTATTCTGTTTTCTTACTGGATGTTGTGTTTTTTCTTATAGGATATAAACATAGTGGAAGAGGCTCTTATTGAAAGAGTACTAGATCTCTCTCTGATACACTACATGAGGCACTCTAACAGGTCCTAACCACCATCAAGACAGAGGCAAGATATTCAGTGCTTAGAAGATTTGGCGATATGGTTTTGGGGGCTTACAAATGAAGACACAACAGCTTTCTTTCCAGCAACCTGTTGTGGTTAAAGAAGACCACAACACAGATCAACTGGTAGTTGTGTGTTAAAAAAGAGGTCATATTTACTCATGATCAGAGCTGGAAGTCTTTTATCAGTTGAACCTCTAAGATAAGACATAAATGTTTCTTTAGAGCGGAAGTAGGAAAACTGTAACTCTACCACTAATATGGAACATAAAGCATGTCTGGCTAGTAATGCATGCTTGGTCTTCTAGAACAGTCTTCAGTTTGTCCTACCTCTGCTTCTGAAACATGAGTAACATTATCTGCAGCAGATGCATATGCAGCAAGTGACCCAGAAACATTTGCATCATAAATGTGTGGACTACTGTCACTTCCAAGGTCAATGATTCTTAACACTGTTGTCAGAACACATTTGTGTCCAGCCACTAACCTAAATGTGAGTACAGTAAACTAAACAAATAAGCTCAAGATACACAGTAGGATTGTATATAAGCATACAACTACACGCAAGTGCAACAGATCTTCCATATTTTACTCCTATTTATTTATGATCACTATTTATTGTAATACACTTGGGTGGTGCCAATACGTGTGTCCACATTAAATGTTGGGACGCAGTGTTCTAGTTTATGAAAACCAGAAGACATAGCTTGTAAAACAGGGATAAACAGGCTAGCAGGAAATTATATTAGATTGATAGTGGATTTATGCAACTGGAGGTAACGGCAGGAGGACTCTGGGGGGGATTTACTATAGGCAAATCGGCTGTTACTTTGCAAGGGGATTTTCACTTAGTAAATGAGGTGAAAATTCACATAGCAAAGAATACCCAATCATGTGCAAGGATAAATAACATAAATATATTTTGCTTGCACATGAATTGATGATATTCAGCAGAGCATCACCTCATTCACTAAGCTCAGTGAAAATTCCCTTGCAAAGGGAACAGCCTATTAGCCTTTACTAAATTAATTCTGTCGCTCATGGAATGTAACAGACAAGAGTTTAGAAGAATAAGAATGTTCAATAAATGTCTTGTTAAAACTCTTATTGCCCACTAATTTTGGCTGTGGACCTTCAAAGGCGGTTGGATGTGCAGGCACAATCCATCTGCCCTTAGGTTTCTTTGTCTGCTGGATATGCATACTCAGCAAAGCAGGCGTGTTTATGCTTTGGGGGCAAGATAGGAGTGTCCTCCTGGCACCATTTGTATGAGCATAAAAAGTAGCAACCATTCCAGTAAGACTGATCACCTTGTATTTTGGGATCTGGTGACTGGGAATGTCTGGCAGTGTTTGATGCTGCCCGTAGACATCTGACAAGAGTGTAATTGGGTGGCTGTCATTATAATAATGTGGGTTGCTAATTTCTGGAGGGACTATTACCCAGTAACTCCCTAGTCTTACATAGTTAGACAGATCAGTATGATGTCTTGCATTAAAATCTTGAATTTCTATGAAGGCTGCACATGAATGGCAGATAGAATTGTTGACTATAGGAAGTAGTATTAAAGTTCAAAATAATATATCAATTCGCTAATGCCCCCCTTGTTTCAGTTCATTTATGTGCTATCTCTGTTGTTTATTTTAGATGATACCTGTGATTAGTAAAAATACTTTGTACATTATGCCTTGTATAGATTTTATCAGTCATATTTAGAACATTTCTATTTTGTGACCATATCTGTGCCATGATTCTAACTTCCTTTTATTAGATTAGTATTATTAGTTTCTTATTAGCATGTTATAAGGAAGCTCTTGCAGAGAGAATCTGAACATGCACATCTCTTAGCTTTGAGGCCCTGTTAAACCAGCCAATCGGAAGGTTTAGATTTTTAAAACTGTAAAAGGAGAATGACAGCTTACCAACTGCTGTCCCCCTGAAGGTACTGCTTAATGTAATGTTACTGTACTGTAATGTGTACGGGTAAATGGTACCGTACTTTACCGCGCTGTTCACTGTCTGATGTCCCCACTGCTGCACCGCTGGTACCACTGTCCCTGGTGGCAAAGGAAGCCTGCGCTGTAGAAAGCAAGGATGCGGCGGCGGGGGGAGCAGAGCCGCATTAGCCAATACTTCCTCTATAGCACCAGTTACTGTGACAGGCGGAGTGATACCAGATAACTTTAGATTGTTGTACATTTTGTTGCACATTAAAAAAAATAAGACATCCCCTGAAAATAAGACCTAGTGTGGTTTTTTGGGGCTAAAAAAATATAAGACAGTGTCTTATTTTCGGGGAAACACGGTATATATAATACAGTGCATATTCTGTATATACATGTATGTGTATATGTATTTTTCTTACAGAATCACATACACTGTTAATTAATTTTACAAGGTAACAGTTTTAAAGACTCTAATCTTTCACGTCAACAAAGCATATACTGTATATGGGGATGTGTAAAGACACATACCAGAACACAGGCGTATGTAGTTAAATTAGCACTTCCATTCAGCCATTATTTCATGTAATTCATCTTTTATTTGTTGTCCAGAATCTTTTCTTATATGGATATTTAGGCTTGTTTAAGCATTTTTAAGAGAGGACAGTGTTTAAATCATACCAGTACTATGGCAAAAAGCCAAAACGTTCAAGGTGCTTCCAGTGGATGATGAATTAATTCAATGAATAAATTATGTTGTTCCCTTGTTTATGGAATCTAATATTGCTGCAAGCAACACTTAAATGCAATATATCCATTGCATTAAATGGCTATAGCTGCTTCTAATATTATTGCTTCATTTTCTATTACTGCAAGAGAAGAAAATACAGATGACCATGTAAGTAAATGCTGTAAAATGTATGGAACATGTAATTTGGCACTTTTTGTCAGATAGTGCCATTCTGGGCCATTTAACACATTATGGATATTAATTTTTAAGTTAACCTATAAGTTCCAATAAATAATAGATCAACTTCACTAGAAGCTGCTCTAATTGTGATGTCAAGCACTGACATCCCACCCTTTAAATGTAGCATTTGCTTCTGAGTACACATATTTGGCATCTAGAATGTACGTGCCTGTGCTGTATTCACAGGGTCCCTAGCATCAGGAAAAGGGGTCATGAAGCAGGGTGAGAACCCAGATAACAAACTCCTCAGCTTGCCTCTTGGTAGGGATGCCACTGTATGCTGTGTGTGGGTTCCAATCCCATAAATAATGTTTTCTAAAGATAATGCTGGTACCAAGGGAGGAGAAATATCTACTATGGAGGTAGAAGAGGTCATGTCGATATAAAGAAATAATGGATTGTTTGCTGGTTATATTGTGCAGGCAGGTCCAAACACTATGTAGTCTCCATAGCAAATGTAAGAGATACAATTATCCCAATTTCATATCTCAGGCTATCATACAAAGCAATATCAAGACCATATATGCAGAATAACATGTCTCTAGTGCAAGTTGTGAAATATAGGTTGCTTCACTGATAGGTATAACAACAGCTAAATACAGCCACACCTTCCTCAGCATGTAGAATTGATCAAACGACTTTATAACCACTCAAATCACTTCTACAAGAAAGATGGCAGTCAGAATTTGTGCTTTTTATATCCTCCTGGGGGCCAGGTTTAATATTATAAAAGACTACTGAGTACATGATAAATAATATCTAAAAGGTGTAAACACCTAAGAGCAGATTTTATTCAAAATATATAAATATATATATTTGCAGTGTCACCTATTAGGCAATCACTCTGATGTCCTCAGGATTAATAAGTATAATGTGTGCCTTTGTATAATCATATAATTCTGTTTTACTATAAAATGTCATTTATATAAAGGAGTAAATACTGAAACACATTTTTTTTAATCAATACTTGGTATGATCGGCTGCTCTTGTTCTGATGGGGACCAGTTTTTAAAAAGGAAAGAAGGAATGCTGCCCATAGAAACCCGTTTAGTTATCCTCATGGCAATTTCAACCTCTTTCAATCAATCAACCCACCACCTACAATTACTGCTGAACCTGAAATAATCAAAACTGATGCTAGTACGTTGCCATGATCTGTTTGCCAATTTCTGTAATTAAAAGGTGGCTAAAGTGGTTGCGGTTGGCTGCAAATTGCTGCATGTATGGCCAGCATTGGGGTAGACAAGTTATATGGGTATACTGACATTTCCTTCATTATCATACCGTGTTTTTGTGCCTTCCCCCGGGATCCACCCTGCTGCCTGATTGACAGCTGGCTCTGTCTCTCTAGAACCAGAGCCAGCTGTGCCTTCCCCCCCCCAACCGTACATTCCTCCAGTCAGCGCAGGGGGAACAGAGGGTACGGAAGAATCCCTGTGGGGTGCAGTGATTGACAGTCACCACTCTCTGCAGGTAAATAACTGAGCAATCGGCGGTATGTTAACTCTCCGCTCCCGATCAGTAGTCCCGATGTGTGACAGCTTCAGTGTCACATGTCGGTTCTAATTATGGGAAGAGTGTAATTCATTCTTCCCATAATTCTCCTTTAATTTATGTATGGTAATAAATTAACTGCTACATACCCAAGCTCTCTTTTCTGAGTGACAGGTCCTCTTCTGTTATTTTACATGGACGTAGAAATTGTGCGCTCACAAAGATCTATAGTCATATGAGTAGTACAGCTATATGGATGTACTGTTCTGGCCTGGTATTTGCCAATGCACAAACTGAAAGGCTACGGTATATCTGAGTTGTTGCTATGGGCAGCATACTTTAACCACAGTTTTTATTCATCAGCCCCAGTTCAGATTTAATTTTTATACCAGCTGGTTATGCCAAACCTTTATTTATATGATGTGCTGGTAGGCTCTCTGGCAGTGCATGCTGGGACATGTCACATAGTTCCATATTATTCTGGAGAGTTATATTTTTAATCATTCATATATAAACTGACTTCTGTATTAATCAGACATATGCATGCCACTAATATATGGTCCACTAACTACATTGTAGATATGTAAATTAGCAGTTAAGCTTTGTAAATGAACCAGTTTTTGGTTTTAAACTTTTTTTGTGGTTTGTTAAAAAAAAGATACTTTTAATGTAACATCTGAATTGTTACTATTCTTGTAACTATGTAACTTGTATTATATTTTCTATTTCCCATTTGTAGCCCTAATTGTGAAATTCCACATAATAAAGTTGTTTTCAGAAATTAAGTTTTATGTCATTTGTGTTTTATTGACTTGAAAGTTAAACTTGGTACACACGGTTATATTTTTTCATTCACCTTCGCCTTATAACAGATCCCTCAATCCACGCTAACTAGTCCAAACATTCACACAGATTAGTTTGACATGATCTGCCCTCAGTTTAAGCATGCTGCGTTGGTGTTTCAAAATGATAATTGATCCTTCTATTTAGGAGTGATTCCATTTATTGCACTACTACAGATGTTGAACTCACTGGCTTGTAGTTTCCAGGTTCTCACTTACTACCCTTCTTGTGGATATGTAC